ACCCAGAATTGATAGTTGGGATAAAATAAGAAAATAATGAAAGACCTCTAGAGATAATGAAAGAAGAAACAAGTCCTAAATTATTAATTAATACTACACTTGTTTTAAGAGCAAGCTGCATGCTTCTCTTAACAATTTTTTGGTACCACACAATCTTTGATAACAAAATATGTTCAAATCAAACTATTGTTAAACCAGGAGAAAAATTTCTAAAGAGTGCCTGTGTGCATTCATATAAAACACAGCACATACAATAAATATATAATATATAATATATAATATGTTATATATTATATATCATATGTATATATATTATAATATATATGTATAATATATAAAACACAAACAACATGTAATATGTGTTGATGAGCACCAAAAAGTGGCATACACATCATTATATAAGTAGCTTGCTCCAAAAGTAATGTCTTCTATTTAATTCCATGGAAAGTACAACAGATACAATGAGAGCAATAAAAATACTTGATAGAGCAAATTCTTAGCTACAAAATACTATGTGCAACGTAGTCGTCACCATCAGCTACATATCTTCACAAGATTAACAAGTGCCTACATGTCACACTCATCAAAACCTGCAACTGCAGGAGCAACTCACTGTTTCACAGCTGCTATGACAGCATCACTGCTGGGAAAACATCAACCACACAATCTTTTGCTGACCCAAACGATGACAGTCAGACGGTGCTAAAACAGGACTGTAAGATTGGTATTGTAGTACAGCTCAGCCAAGACTGACAATATGCTCCATTATTTTCCTTTAAACTAGTATGGGGTTTAGTGTTACCAGGTTGCAAGAGAAAGGTTGTCTTCTTCTCTGGCCTGACTCTGGAAGTTCAAGCCTTCAGCTTAGTCAGAGTCATGACACAGCAGTCCAAAGTTAATGGTTTGTCTGGGTTCCAGAAAATCCAGAAGGATCACCCCTTCTTAACCCAAAAAACAGCACACAGCACTCTACTCATTCAGGGCTGCATCTTGAGCCTTTTCTTTGATGAGGAATTCAAGCCTCCTCATGGACTGTCACTTTGATTCCCGCTTGTAGTGAGGACATCATGTATCATCACTAGTAATCACAAAATTACAGAATTGTAAGGGTTGGAATGGAGATCATCGAGTCCAACCCCCCAGTGAAAGCAGGTTCCCAAAAGTAGGTCACACCAACAGGCATCCAGACAGGTCTTGAATATCTCCAAAAAAGGAGACTCCACAACCTCTCTGTTGTGGAGACCTGTTTCAGTGCTTTGTCACTCTCACTGTAATGAAGTTCTTCCGCTTATCTGTGTGAACTTCTCATGCTCAAGTTTTTTGACACTGCTCCTTATCCTACCACAACACACCACTGAAAAAACTCTGGCTTCATCTACTTGCCTCCTGCACTTTAGATACCTATAAATACTGATCAGATTCCCTTTTAGTCTTCTCCACACTGAACAAACCCAGGTCTCCCAGCCTCTCCTAGCACTGGAGATGCTCCAGGCCCTTTATCATCTTCGTCACCTCGCTACTGGAGTCCTTCCAGTAGATCCTTGCCTTCTTTGAACTGGGGAGTTCAATACTGGACACAGTATTTCAGATGTGGCCTCACCAAGACAGACTAGGAGAAGAAGATCACCTCCCTCAATCTGCTGGTCATGTTCTTATTAATGCATCCCAGGATATCATCGACCTTCCTGGCTACAAGGGCATACTACTGGAAATGTAATGATGTATTTCAGGAAAATGATACTGTCTGTCTTCTAACAGCTGAAATTCTCGGCTGGTTTCCCACATGAAATTGAATCTGGCAAAGGAGGTAAAAGTTAGTAAGAAAGGTTTTTTTTAAGTATGTCAACAGTAAAAGGAAGGCTAGGGAAAATTGTGGGTGCCCTATTAAATGAGGGGGGTACTGTGGTAATGGAGGATGCTGAGAAGACGGAGATGCTGAACGCCACCTTTGTTTCTGTCTTCAATGCAAAGAGTCCTCTCAGGAATCCCAGACCCTGGAGGTAAATGAGAGAGTCTGGGAATGCAAGGATCCTCTTTAGTGAGGGAGGAGACGGTCTGAGAGCATCCTGGCAACATCAGTGTACACCCACGGGCCCCGATGGGATGCATCCATGTGTGAAGAGGGAGCTGGCAAAGGTGACTACTGAACCACACGCTATTATCTTTGAGAGGTCTTGGAGAATGGGAGAGATGCCTGAAGACTGGAGGACAGCCAGTGTCAATGGTGGACAACAGGCTGACTGTAGGACAGCAGTGTGGTGACCAAGAAGGCCAAAGCCATCTTGGAGTGCAATTAAAAAGAGCGTGGCCAGCAGGTCAAGGGAGGTTATCCTCCACCTCAACTCCTTCCTGGTCAGGCCTCACCTGGAGTACTGTATCCAGTTCTGGGCTGAGTGATCTTGGTCTGCTCAGCCTTGAGAAAATTAGACTGATAGGAAAACTGATCAATGACAACAAATATTAAAGGTGCAGGAGGTAAAGGGGTAAGGCCAGATTCTTTTGTATGGTGATCAGACAAGGGGATGCAGCCACAAACTGAAGCATAAAAAGTTCTGCGCAAATGTGCACAAGAACTTCTTCATGGTAAGGGTAACAGAGCACTGGAACAGACTGCCCATGGAGGTTGTGGAATTTCTTTCTCTGGAGATATCCAAGACCCACCTGGATGTCTACCTGCACAACCTGCTGTAGGGAGCCTGCTTTGGCAAGGGGTTGCACTTGGTGATCTCTAGAGGTCCCATCCATCCCCTACAATTCTGTGATTCCATGAACAGCCCAGTAACATCCTGACAAACTGGCACACAGTGTTCTTTCTGTTCCTATGTAAGAATTCATGGGATCCACCTGCATAAACTTTGTGATATTCCAGCACTGTCATCATTGTTCCCAACACACTGCAGCCAATATATCAGCTCGGCACAGAGTTTCCTGGTCATAATCCACCAGTTTGTATAGATGAACCCATCAACATGCATTTCATGGTGGGAAATCTGCGCATGGCCACCTGGTATGTGGCTTATCTTTCATGTCTCTGTCATCACTGCTGAAACACCACCCCCTCAATGCGCTAATATCCATTGTTTGGTATCCATAAATGCTGAGCAAGCATCAAAGAATGTCAGTGGGTGCCATTTTTTCCGTATGGAGAAATTCCATGACAAATCTTTGCTTCATACACAATTCCATGTCAGATGCCCTTTTGTCACACCGCCCTTCTTCTGCCAGCTGTTGCACAGCAACAAAACATAATGGAATACCAGGGGGAATGTTCAAACCCTACTGCCATACCCCCAACATCTATTTGCAATGTCGTGGGCCAGTATAATAAAATAGGAGGCATTACTTTCAGAGGAGCATGAATGTGCACACACGTGTGTAAAGAGTGGAATGAGCAAAACACATACAGTACATACTACTACACAGATATGTTGCCCTAAACCATCCCAGAATGGTGACTATCCTAAGCCATCCTAGAATGGCAAAGGACAACAGAGCAATTTACAGAGACTCTATGATCTATGTCCAATGTGTCATTTACACCAAAACAGTTTGATCTTAATAGTGAACTAGTTTTCCTGCTGTATTTTACACAGCACACAAAAGAATATACACAATATACACAAACAAATATATTTAAGCATACTCTTTCTTCAGACAGTACTAGAAAATGCAAGACTTAAATGACTACAAAAAAGCCATATAGTGTATGACAATAACTTGCTTCCCAAATGAACAAGCATCTGCATGTTTATTTTTAGAAAAAAGCAACACATTAATATCTCTTTTTCTAATAAGCAGTTTTACTGCTACTAGATTATTAAAATCTGTACACTGAACTTCTCAGAAATAACAATTCTTACACTGACTCTCTGATTTAATATCAATTATCAAATGTTAATACCTTGCTTAAAAATTAATTATCAATTCTTTAACTGAAAACATGGTTGGTTTTTTTGGTCAGCTTTCTAATCAATATTTTAATCAACACTGTATTTGGCTTAGCAATTAAAATAAAGGAAACAGATGTTACATCTACTACATCTACAAATTTGCAAGTAAGATCAATATATTGCATTCTTAACTTGACTTCTTAAATACACATTCTGCATGTGCTGAAACAATATGAAACTGACTGATGATCCTGAGTTTTAAAATCACTGGCTTTGTTCACATAAATTCTATGTCAGAAAGTTTCTGCAGAGGAGAACAAGCTTCAGTATATACCAAATATAGATACAGCAAAAGCACAAGCATTCAATAAGTTAAAACCAAGCTAATAAGACTGTTCATCACTGTAATATATGATTGTACACATGCAGAACCAACACACTGAAATGGTTTAAAATTTCAAAAATATCTAATTTTATATGACAGCATGAGATTGAAACAGAGTATCAGCGTGGTTCTTTTGAAAATTTCTGAGACTGTAATGGCTGTAAACTTTCATTGTTACGCTTTTTGGAATTTTCCTTTACCACTCCAAGAAAATCATCAGTGTGTATCAGGAGACACCACATCTTCCACACTACTTAGAAAGATCTTGTACAGTCAACATCAACTTCCACCTAGAATGACAGAATCCTTAAGAATTGGAAGGAACCTTTAAAGGTCATCTAGTCCAACTTAGCTGCTATGAACAGGAATATCCACAGCTTCTATTCTAAAAATATTATCATACCATAAAACTTGTCTTTCAAATGCACAAAAGAATTTGAAGTGGATGAACATCGAGCTTATAAAGAATAGACAGGAGGTTGTACTGAAAATGTGTTTATCTAGGCAACTATGTAGGTGCATATTTACAAATATAAATAGACAGAACCTTGACAATCTTTTTTACAAGAAAACTGCAGTTTCATATGTTTTACTTAGAAATACTAATGTTTTATTCATAAAAGCAAAAAAGTTATTAATTTTTTTGAACTACTGAATGTAGAATCTTAGAAAAACATAAAGATGGATCAAAAAGACTGATTTAATAAGTGTATTTTTCCTGTTACTGAGCTAAAGTTGATTTACATGTACAGTGTTTAAATACTCAGGGATGATCTCAGTTTGGTAATAAATATGTAAATAAATTAATAAATAAATAAATATGTTAGAAGCATGCTTAAAGAAGGAAAGGGTTTTAACTATTGTAGGATTATTTGACATGATAGATGCAGCTCTTTGAGTACAAGGAAAGAGGAGTTTAACAAAGAAAGTTACAAATTTACATTTGAAAACTTATTTCAATACCTATTTAAGAATAAATTTATGAAAAGATATGCTAGTTAGTGACCTTGAAAAATAAATGAAAAAAATCCAAAGAATCTCTCACGGTGAGGAAAAATAAGGATTAGAATAATCTATGGAAGATACACCGTAATGTTTGTGTTCCAAATATCTTACTGCTATGAGGATTCCCTATAACCTTGGTTTTCAGAATAATCTACAAGAAACAATTTGATTAAGCAGAAAATAAGTTAAAAACCACAACTCACCACTGATCTTACTTGGACTAGTTATGCCTTCTATAGCTTATAAGCATGTCAAGCATGGATATACAGAAGAGACACCAAAGAACCACAAACCAATCATTATTCTCACTTAACAGTTTTAAATTGCTATAAGAAATATTAACTGTATGTGTATGTATATTTTAATCTTTGAAGCAACTACAATGGGCTATTTTATGGAAAAGCTAAAGTTGATAAAATAATAAGAATACACTAAGAATAATAACCTCAGCAGAAGAATTGAATGCCAGTGGCAACTGACTAAAGGTAAAGCTGGTAAAATTAATGAAAACATTTAAATATGTAATAACCAAAATATGTAAATATGCATTTTATCACTGTAAATAATGTTCCCATGAAACATAATACAAAAGGTATACTTGCTTTAACAAGTTAATATATTTTAAATTCTAATAATGGACTTCCTTTAGAAAACAAAAGCAAACAGAAATCAAGTGAACTACCACATTTGTGAAATTCCTCTGGATGATAATATAAGTCACTAATGACATCACTGTACTCAATGGCTTCACCAGTGGATTCTGGTACTTTTTCCTAGAGTACTAAATGTGGAAACAGTTTTGGGAAGGTAAATAAATGTCTAAGGAAGATTAATGATGCATTTGGGGCACTGTGTAAAATAACTGCAGAGAAAGTGAAACTATATTGAAAGTGCTGGCAAGTATTCAGAAGGTCTGGGTATGTTGTGCAAGCGAACCATAAGAACAGAAATCACTAACAGTTTACAGCTTGAAAATAATGATTTGAGAAAATGGACCTCAAAAATGAGAACACAGCAATGCAGTGAATTGAATAAGCATTTAATATGAACTATGACAGCATTTCCAAAGGATGAGATTTTTGAAAAAGACAACTTACATGACTTGTAAACTTTCTGCTGTTAGGTTATTCCACATGATCTCATTAGCTTGAAGGTTTTCATTTTCTTCTAATAAGGATGTATCAAATTCTATTTCTTGTTCAACAACTTCTGAAGATCTAATTCATAAAATAAATATTGCATTTATTAAATTGGAATATAGTTAAAATACAACATAGTTAAATAATAGAAAATAGCAATTGTATACACCTTCCTTATCCTTTGAACAAAGAATACACTCTTAAAAACACCTGAGCATAAAATAAAGTACAATTTTTTGAATTAAGTTCATAGGAGAACCAAAGTTTCTCAGAAGACATCTGTTTGCACAGGCCATTGACCCTGCTATAAACCTGCACTTGACAATTACCAACTCACATATGTTAACAGTAAAGTATAAAATAAGGGGTCTTAGAACTATTTCCATATGTACCTACGTGGAGTTACAGCTCAGTAAGTAACAAATGCAGTATATTTAAAAATACAATACTTTACTGCATTATCTGCATGCTCTGTTGTTTCAGGCACTGCTCACTCTGCAGTAATCACAACATAGATTATGATGCCTAACATTCACTTTATTCACAATCAGGATAGTGAGAGGAATAAAGCATACACACGTAGCACTATAATAGATGAAAACTCCAACCAAATACACAGCAAATTAGATTGCACTGAAGCTGGATGATAATTTATAGTCCACTGTCAGTAACCACGCTATGACTTTTCACATGCAATAACATTAACATGGATTTTGTTTTTCTACAACAGCATTCTGCACATGCAAGTAGAACAACTTTTCAAATTAGGATAAAGTTTTATAATTAACAATGTGAAAGAAAAACAAATTCAAGTCTGATCACTCAAGCAGCATTGCAGTTCAATGCAAGATTTACTCAAAAAAATACGAACATGCACACTAAGATAAAAATGTGTACCTGTGAGTATCTATGAAGTCGTTATACTCAGAATTAGGGTCTATCTGTTCAACCGAAGTCTGGATCTCTTTGTGGACATTCACAATCTCTTCTGTAACAAGACTGGTGATCTGGCTATACTCATCCAAGATTCCTTTTCTAGAGAGGAAAAAAAATTCTAGTATAACATGGCACTGAAGGCATAGATGGTATTGGAGATGCTTCAAAGTTTCAGTTTGCTGTTTCTATAAATTCTTGTTGCAACTGGCTAAAAAGGGAAAAAATAAGACAATGTATATTACTTAAAGCAATAACAGAGCATTTGTGGCCTTTTCTTTACAAATTGGTTAGAAGTGGAGATGTCTCTAATACCACGATCCTTGTATTGATTACACAGAGAAGATGAACTAAAGCTGCAGAGATTATAAGAAAAAGGCACGTACATAACTTATTGATGACATTCTTTCACAACCAGAAGAATCATCGTGCTTGTCATAATCTACGCTACAGCATCTCATGTACTCCTGAATAACAAAATACATTCTGAAACATTGAAGAATGAGAATTTCCCTTAACAATTTTTTTTCTTCATTATTATTTATCCTTTATCACACAGTTATGTTATGAATTTGTTGTTTAGACAAAAACAAGCACACTTCACTTTGACATGTTAACTAAGAAAGGAAAAAACATCAAAGAGGAAATTCACACAAGAAAGTACAAGCCATTCAGCCTACTAGTCAGTTCCAGAAGTGGGGAAAATAAACTTTGTGATTAATGGTAAGTGGTAAAAGAACAGGCAGTATTTTACCACAGATTTTAAGAGCATCCAGTGAGCATCCATTTCCTCAGAATACTTTCCTGCTCTCTCTGTTCCAGCTTTCCACAAAAGAACTCTCTTTTTTTTGTGACAAACTTGCCGGCTTGCCAGGTGTTGAAGCATGGCAAGACTTTTAAAATACTCATGATTTTAGCCAGCCAAGAGGAAAACACACAGAAAGAGGTAAAAATACATTTTTCCTGGGTATGATCTTTAACTATGTTTACTCAGTAAAAAACATTAATTGCTTGGATTTTTCCAGTATTTATTCTGAGGAGAAAAGGGACAAGGTAAGTCATCAAATCTTGCCTTGCCGGTGAATGTGTCTGAAAAAGCTCCAGAAAACAGTTCAAAGAGTGCAACAAGCCAATATCAGCTACAACAATGCTATATCTAAAAGAAAGGGAATCAATGGCAATTACTACCTATCTACATAAAAACCAAACCAGCTGGTCTGCAAAATCAGAACTATTAAGGAATAATATGGCAACAACACCAAGTTCCACATATGAAATCACTGTTTCTTTTTTGCAGAATTAATTCATGGTATCAGAAATCAGTAATTTCCCAATCAATTCAGATTTAACTACAGAAAGTTTTAAAATTGACAAAAATACTTTTCAAGCTTGTATTCACAGACAGCAAATGCAAGTGGGCTCAATAGTTCCTTTTTATACAATAAAATTCTTCAGTGTATTACTTTAACTTACATTTCTGGGAAAAAAATCAACTTAATTACAATGCAGAAATTTAAGTGTGTTCTCTTGTGATTCTGCATACGTTAAGATTTAAAAGACTTACAGTATTACAGAGGTCTGTTTAATTTAGATTCTTGCACCAGAATTAATGACAGTAATACAATAATACTGATAACAGGGCCATTAATGTCTGCTTCCCACAAGCGTATCATAACAGAACCCTGGAACAGGCTGCCCAGAGTGGCTGTGGGGTCTCCTTCCCCAGGAACATTCAAAACTTGCCTAGATGCACTCTTGTGTGACCTAATTTATGTGTTCCTGCTCCAGCAAGGGCACTGGACTAGGCGATCTCCCAAGGTCCCCCCAGTCCTGACACACTGTGATTATGTGACACTGAGCAGAAAATCTTTAATTCTCCCTCATTTCCTATTTGTGACATAAATACAAACACATATTTCTGTAAAAGTAAGTAAATGAGTTACAGAAGATTGCCTCATATCTAACTGAACAATAGCTATAAAAAAGAAGTAATAATTTTGTCTTTTAGTGACTTACAAAACACCTAAGAAGAGGACCTAACCAGCTCTTCAAGAACTCTTCAGGAAAGTCACAGAGGCAGCATGGCAGCTACAGACCAGAAAAGAAGGCTTGATGTCTGTTCTCTAGGATAATCAATTTACACATCTTCTGTCGTGATGCAGAGAATGATCTTCCAGGGAAAAGGTAGTTGTATTTTAAAAATAAAGGTTGGATTCCTCACAGTGAGGTTAGGTTTACATGATCCTATTATTTCCCCACACATTTGACCCTGCATCTGTCCGCCTCCAAAATGACTATCAAGATGGCTGGACAGTTTTAGCAAAGGTTTTTAGTGGCAAAATTTCATAAAAATGAGACTACTACAAAGGTAACAAACTTCTATATTATTCCAGATGAAGAAGAGGATAAATTATAAACATTTTAATTAATCTGTTAAATTGAAAAATTAAAACAGTGTCAAGCCAAAATGCATAAATAATCCTTCCAAACTACTGTCTGTATTTGAATAGACTTTCTTACGCACAATTATTGTCTACTGAAAATTTATAACAGCTTTTTTCAGTACCCATGATACATTAATTAATTGATTGCAGTTTACTAATTTTTAACAATGCAATAAAATAGAATACTACACACATTTGCAAGTTAAAATATGTAAGGAAGTATCTTACAGGGCTTTAATCATTTCTTCTTGCATTTTCTGTAGTGAATCAAGTAACAAAGGAAGCGTAGTGTCATAATATTGGTGCTGATACAACTGTGCTCCTTTCAGTGCCAATACATACTGATTATGCAACATATGAAGCTTCATAGTGGCTTTATCACATCGATCTTTGGCTTTCTCAGTCTCCTTTCCTAGGGGAAAACAGAATCAAAACAAAACAAAAAAAGAAAAGGTGAATTAAAAGTACGCAGATTTGTGGGTGGCATAAATCTAATTGATATCTAATTGATTCATAATAGGTTTGCACTTTATTTTTAAATTATTATCCTACAGAAACATCAATCCAAGATATTTGACAATACATGTTTTTATTATTATTAGTTGGAAATACAACCTTTCCAAAATATTTTGCTGAAGAAATAAATTTGACCATTCTCAAGTTTCTAATACAACCAAATCTCTTGGTTTTCTTATTCCAGGTAAGAAAAAAAACTACTTTTACTTTGACCAGAATTATTTATCTAAAAGTACATGAAAACCACTGTATATTCTGGTATAGAAATAATATAACTGTCAAGAATAAAGACTAAAAAATTCACACACACAACTATTGAAACACTAACATTTCATTTGCCTCAAAGCGAACAAACATTTTAAATGAGGAAAATAAGAGATGTCTTGCTAGCTGAGATTTACACAGAAGCTGTCATTTATTTTGAGCAAGCACTCTAGTGCTACATATCATCCCAAGCAAGCACTGATGCAGTCTCGTATTAGTAGCTGAACTCCAGCACCGTTACTCCTGTACAAAACTCTCAGCTCTACTACAACTTAACATTTCCTCATCACTGTCAGTATACTGATCAGGAGCTCAACACTGCATCTTAGCTCTATCAGATCAGTTCAGTGCTGAACCAGAGAGCTACAAGGTACTTCAGGAGGTCATCTACTCTACTCTTAGCCACAGTAATTACACAGATACACGACATGTCTTCCTAAAATCTCCAGTGATAGCTATGCAGTTTCCCAGTACTATTCAGGCCTAGTGCTGTGCTAGCTCAAAATACACCCTCATTATATAATTCCTTCATTCTCCACTACAAATTTATAAATTTAAGCTGTTGCTTGTTTTACCAATGTGTGACATGAAAAACAGATTCTACAGCCCTCTGTAATTCATCTTTTATGTAGCAGAAGATAATGCACTCTCCTTTTCCACCCAATCTTTGTGCCAAATGGCTCACAACTTTACACAAGTGTAACCTCAGGTAAAATTCAACTTTGGAAGCCAAAGGGTAAATCACGTTCCTACTTCCCTTCCCAAAAAACAAACCAAAAAAAGCTTTTTTTGAACACCATACAATCGTGTTATAAGGATAGGAGGCAGTTGATATAGCTACCTTAAACTTATTTCAGTTTTCAGATCACCCAGGAAAGGCAATGATCACAATTACTTAATAAAGAAGAAACAGCTCACCCTTTTCCATGGATCAGGGCTCACTAGAAACTCCTGGAGAAGGAGATCTCCGAACAGAGAGGCTTCCTTTTGGCTACCAGCCCTAAAATGAGGTTAGAACCCAGAGTCCATCCGTTCCAGTCATACAGGTGAATTGCTTGCATCTATGCTCCCAGTGCTCAATCACTGGTTCAGGTTGTGACTTAAGGGCTCCCACAAACGTTAGCACTAAACATATATATATGTATATATACACACACTATTTATTTCTAGACATCTCTTGAGTTCCTTGAATGATCTGAAAGTCTATAGCTGTTCTCCTGTGCACTTTAAATTCCCTTAAGGTATACTGATACTTGTAAATTTAACAATCAAATTCTAGATCCAAGTGATGATACACTGAAAGACCGCCCACATCTAATCCCAACATATATCCTGCATGATACATTATCCTGACAGGAGCCCCTTAACATCTATTCACCAACCAGCTTTATGCTGACAGATCTGCACCTCTACTAGGATATTTCCAACCTGATCATGCACTGCCCTTATCATCGTCAAGAAAGGATAATTATATTGACAATTCCTCACTGTGACTTATAAGATCGTCCCCATATCCTTGTTATAAATAATCAGATACTTATTAATTGTCTGATTACTTCTTCCAGGAATTAAAAGCACTTTAAATGAATCTTTATCTGCTGCACAAATTAACATACACTAACTAGAGCAATCTCATTTAAGCTGCTGCATTTCTTTTAATTTTACAATAAATTAAATAATAAAAGACTATTTTATCATGTCAACTACACATCACAAAGCATTACAGAAAAGAAAGACACAGTTTTTAAAATTAAAAACCTTACTGTATATCTTGAAAAGCTGAAATTTTGTTGAACAAGAAACAGACAAAGGACTGGACTGTATATTCTGATAAAACACAGAAACACATTAAGGCATGTCAAAAAAAGTTGAGAGACAAACTTCTACAGCAACAACAAATTGGTCCTCTTTCAAATACACAGGAGTCAGTAAGCTTGTCAGAAAGCCTGCATGATAGCTACATAAAAAGAGCTGGTAGGAAAGAAAAAAATGTGAGTATTTTCCATTCATGTTCATTACAAATGACGTTCCGAATTTTCCATGCTGGAATGTCTCCCTGTGAAAGAGATAAACAATCTTTCCCAGGAGGCGTCAGAAATTAGCAGGACTGGAAGCTGTTTAGCTTTAGAACTCTGAGGGTATCTGAGAACATTGTAACAGAAATACTACGATCAATTTTTAAAGGAAGAAGTAAGGACTCAGATGGGCAGCCCTCAGAAATATTAGTTGGGGCTTAATATATGAGATGATGAAGATACTGTTGAAGATGTTGACTCAAGCAAATTAAAAAAAATCATGCTTCACTGGAAGACTTTTTTTTTGTTTTGTTTTGACAAAACATAAGAATACTGAGCTTTTTTGTCTCTATCAAACCTGTATCATCTGCAGGGCAGGAGAAAAACAGCTTGGCTAGAATAGCATTCCAGAACTTAGAAACTGCTGAACGCATCTGACACCAGTGTACCAAGACCACAGGACAGTAGGATAGCGTAGTATTCCACTTTCCCATTCTTCAAGTACTTGGTTATATTACCCCCTAACAAAAGACTTCAGCAAATCTGAGAATGAATCGAAGTGTAATACACACTCAGCTTTCAAATACAGTAGGCTAAGGCATCAGTTTGGCTGTTGATAGACAAAACACATACCAGATGGTGTTTGTGGAGAACAGCAGGCATGTGAACATGTAAAGATAATGGAAAACAACAGAATACTGTTTGTAGGGGAAGCCATCAAGTAGTACTGAGAGTTCTGGAACTGCATGAAAGAGGACAAGGCAGAGGACTGGATGACAGGACAAGGCAGCTGGAACTCCAAACTGGAACAACTCAGTTTTGCTTAAACACAGCCTAACCCTTGCACTGCACTGAGAACTCCTTGGGAAATTGGCAAAGGATGTCAAGATGGCAGCAGAGAAAGAAATGTTGGACTGTTTAGGTTACATAAACAAAAATTATCTCCAAATATTACAGTAGAATGAAGAGCTTAAATCGTGCAGCTTGTCCACACATGTCTTTAAGCTGCATACTCTATCAGTTAAACAAAAATCAACATACGTAAAACCAAACAAAGCTCCATCAGTAAACATCACAACAGAGAGCTTTCAACAGCTAAGCTAATCACACCACTAATAACCACAACTACATAACTAGAGACTATCAGCACTGTATCACTTTCATGACACTTGTTAATAGCTAAACTACTCCTTTTTATGCTGTAAGAACTAAATGCCTTTGCTATTCATTACTCATTGGGAAAATACCTCCAAAAATTCCAAACTAGATCAACTTACCTACACATTCTACTTTCAAATGCAGTCTCTGAACATGTAATTAACAAAAAAAAGTAGCTACAGTACTATTCCCATCCTTTATTCTTTAAAACAGAAAAATGCAGTGAGGCAGAGTACACAGTTGTTCTATGTGTCAATTTACATTGAGGAAAACACCAAATTTTCCTTATCTATATACAGAATGTTACGGATAGATATAATCCTACCACCATCAGTCATCAAATCTGTTCAATGTTTACAGAAACAAACTGAGTGTACAATATGTCAAGTCACAAACAGTACCGTGCAGCTTGAAAAATTCAATTATACAAATTTGACATTTGCAAAGAAAAGGTTGGCATTCTTGTTAAACTATTCCAGAGAGTCAAGTATTCCTATTTCTGTTAAAAACTGTTGTATTTAGTACAGGAGCCATCCAGAAAAACTCTCATAGGGTATTTTCTATTAGAAGCATAGATTTACTTACAATGGCAAAATGTTAACTGGATAACTCTTCAGAACTAAGAAAAAATCAGCTCATAAATTTTATCATATTTTAAATATGTATTAATCCACAGTGAAAACATGTCAAAGAAATTGACCTTCAGAAAATAAATATTGCACAGGCAGAAAAAAATTCATATATATTTTGGATTAAAAAGACATAATTATACTAAGGAGCTCAGTTTTTTGTCCTTACAATTTTTACCCTCAACGTTTAATGTTTGGTCAAAAGTGTTAAATAAAGGCTTAAAATCTTTTATATGTTCACTATTTTTAGCTACCACCAACTTCAATAAAATTTAACATTTGTGTATTTTCCAAATTTACATTACAGTTAATACTGTTCTCTTGAAATTCTTGAACTGTAATACTTTGACATACAGTGCAACATATTCACTCATTTGCACACAAGGATCCATCTACTGAGGGGTGATATCTGTAGTACAACACTTAGAAACTAGCAGAAGTTTAGCTGTTCAGATTTCATATTCAGCTTCATGGTAGTGTGGGTTAAGAAATAACCAATACTCTATTGTTTCTGCAACAGCAGATTCCAGTTAAGATTTCCAGTTTAAGAGTTTCAGCTAAATATTAAGTAATATCCCACAACACAAGTGAAGATCCGAGAGATAAAATCATTTTGTTACAAATTTATCCTTTTGAAAGAGAAAATGCATGCAGTGAAAATCAAAGGTTTGACCAACATGGAATTCAAAGCATTCCTCTTGAAATCAAAAGTTCAAATATAAACATTTTGGATAGCTCAAACACGAAAAGTGGTTACGAAGAATTCTGAAACTGAATGTTCTACGAAATAATTGCTTGGTATCTACATAGAACATCAGCTAGTAGGAAAA